TTGTAAGACAATTGTTTGTTTTTTGGTATAATAAACTTTCCCATTCCACAATTTTCTTGATTATTGTGTGATCCATTAAATTTCATATTGTCCATATTCTTCGTCGTCAATTTTTTTTTTTTTTTGCCAGTTTCTCAACAAGTGATATCAAAACATTCTTGATATCGTGTTGGTTCACAACAATTGGTATTAGAGTGAAGGGTTTTTTTGATGGTTTCTTGGGAAGTCCAAATTGATTATTAAAGTGAGGTTGGAAGGGCCAGAATTAAGATTTTTAATCAGAACACCCGGTTTAGAATTGAAGAGAAAGATTTTCTCCTTGAGTACTCTTAACTTAAAAGAGTACAAATATATCAGTGAAGTTGGAGTTCTGAATGTTAGTAAAAGTGCCCCATATTGTGATGAAGGGATAGAGAATGTCCCGATTATATGTCTCGCATGGTTCTACGGAATCCTTGAAGATCAATTAGCAAAATTGAGGCACTCAAGTGGATTTTGAGTTTTGTTTAGCGCTGTTAGAGCTTCGTTTGGGGTCTACATTGAAGAATACATTTCAGACAAGTTTAGAAGTTGTGGATAATTATACTTTGTCAACATTACCAGCGGTGCCATCGTATTCAATTACTAGAGACAGACTGAAAAGTAATATTAGGTATCCATATAGGTACGAGGATGCTTGTTTAGTTTCTTTTACTTTGAATGTGGTCGAAGGTATTTATTCTAGCCGAGAACCTTCGAGTGAAATAGTAAGTTGTGTCGATTATGTTATAGGGCTTATTTTNGACTGCAAAATAATATTAGGTATCCATATAGGTACGAGGATGCTTGTTTAGTTTCTTTTACTTTGAATGTGGTCGAAGGTATTAATTCTAGCCGAGAACCTTCGAGTGAAATAGTAAGTTGTGTCGATAATGTTATAGGGCTTATTTTTGCCCTATTTGGTGATTATTAAATTATTTGTGATTTTTCATTGACCATGAGAATAGTTCGAGCAACTTTGGCGTCCGAGGTAATCGTGTTGATTAATGCTTGGAATTTAGTTGATACTCAGTGGTTGAGTTAGTTCTAATTTTTGTGGTAGAGGTGGGCAATTTTTCTCTTTGGAAATATCATGGAGAATTTTGTTTGGTGTTTTTGTTGAAGGGTTAACTCTTATTACTTGTAGTAGAATTTGTCTCCAGGTAGAGAATCTTTGAAATTTTGTTCATTGTAGTGGAATTTGTGTCAATGTGGAGTTTTTTAGAATTACGATATGACTCGAATTCTGTTTGTAATGCTATTTGGGAATCTTA